TTGGTCGACCGCCTTCAGGTATCGAGTTGCAAGTCAAATTGTGTCATTTTTACTTTTGATTTGCTAAATCCGTCATTTTTGTTTCCTTTTCGCCTAACCCAATCTTTGGAATTTGAAGTTAAATTATTTGAATATTAATGTTATATAATATGTATGAGTTTTCACTATACTTTGGATCCAAATACAACATTTTATTCTGGTGTATTGGTATATTACTCATATCTTAGATGATATTTTATATAACTTATAAATGTATAAACAGGATAATGTCTTCTTTCAGATATTCGGGCTAAACCGAGTTAAAATAGTCGGACTATTAATCTTCAACCCACTTGGTCGACTGGGCCAACGAGTTAAACAAGGTTGACAACCTTGCATTGTTCATGATAATTAATCAGGAGTAACTGCTAGTCACATTGTTCACGGTAATTAACCGTGACTAACGATTAATCACGGGAAAATAAGACTAAAAAGTTGTTGAATTAATTCCCGTGATTAGAACTATACAATCAAATACAGGAATTTTTCCCGTGACTACTAGTATACTTCTAAGTACAGGAAAAGTTCCCGTGAATAAGATCCCGTATCTAAAAACCAGTTTTCCTGTAGTGAATGTGGGGTAAAGGACAAGGCCTCACCGGCGGCTTTGGTGAAGCCACTTATGAACGAAAATGAGGAATCGGGCACATTGAACCTTTAGATTGTGGAGCTTCCTTTTTGGTTAGGTCTTCGTCTTTTTCTCAAAAGAGAAGAGGAGGAAAGGAAGAGAAGAAGATGGAAGAGGGAAGCGCTAAGGAAGGTGGGTGGAGGTAGGGGTTTTAATCGTCATATATATATATATAAAATATTAACCCAATTTGTGAAAGTTGTGTTCTACATTTTCAAATTATCGATGGGACTTAGTTTTCGGTAATTGAGGATTGCTATAACACTTGTGTTATGGCATATGACAATTGTGAGCTGGTAAATCAAACTTGTGGAATGAACTAGTAAAAAAAAATAGAAAAAAGGAAAAGCGTACCTTCAGGATCTCCTCAATCTTCATAATTAAGAACGGATATCTCATGAGAATCTCCATCTTCTGTTGCTCCATCAAAACTTGATGCAATACAAAGCAGCAGCTGTTTGCAATTGACGGAGCCAACAGACACATCATCAACTACTTCGTCTATTGACGGCGAAAAGAAAAAAAAATATTGAAGCACCATTGTTGATCGTCTCAAATCTACTGTAATATTCGGCGGCGCTAAAAAATACAACGAAAAATCACTGTCATTGTCGCCTCTTTGTTGTATCAAAAGACAGGGCAACTAAAAAATCACTCATGTTGTTCAGAATGTCATCTCGCGCAATATCTGGTACTCGTCCACCGCCGTTCAAAATTGTCGTTGTGGACTGCCGACTCTGCTATACCAAGTCCTAGGGGTGGGCATCGGTGCGGTCAAACCGCTCCAAACCGCTCCGAACCGCTTATGCGGTCCATCCAAACCGCACCGTAAAGTTTGCGGGTTCATTTGCGGTCTAACTATTAAGCAGTTCGCGGTACGGTGCTACCAAAATCGCTAAAGTAAATTTCCTCTCACAAGTTCGCCTTCCACCACCGAGTAGCTTTGAATCCAGTCATCCAAAGACGCCTTAGCAAGGTATTGGAGAAAATCCCCTCCCACCAATTGCACTTCTCGCTCAGATCCATTTCCTTCGTTCTCCTAGCTAACTTCCCTCTCACTCTTTCTGTTTGCCTTGTGACTTGTGAGGAGTCACTTTCTGACGAGAAACAGAGGAAAGAAAAATAGAGCAGGAAATTATTAAAGAAAAGAATAATTTACCATCAAATTTAGAGAGATGGGGATAAAATTGGAAACAATGGAGTCGAAATTACAGAGGGTTTGTGTTTTCTGTGGGAGTAGCCCTGGGAAGAAGACCAGCTACAAAGATGCCGCCATCGAGCTCGGCCGAGAATTGACAAGCAACACACTCTGTTTTGCTCTATTCTTGTGTATTCGCTTCTCCCCCCCCCCCCCCTCGATTCCACACTACGTGTATCCAATATCTCCCAAATTTCCACCCAGAGTTTCATTTTATTTCTTCCCAATAATAAGGGCTGGTCTATTTAGTGCTCAAAACTAAATAAGAAGTGACATTGTAGGCAGGTAATGATAACATTTGGAAAATTGATGAGGCCACCATTTAATTTAAGAATTTCTGCATTTTCTATAGCTTTCATGCAGTTCTAGTTTCATGTTGTCTGCATGTTTATTTGGTCTAATTATTGTTTTGGTGGGAGAAATAAGTTTACGGTTTTATGTTTTTGCATATGATACATGATCATTCCAGCTCATGCAAGGCCGTACCAAGGAATTTGGGTTGTTAGTTATTCTTAAAGGAATTTTGTGGAGGTTAGAAATGGATTCCACTTTGCGGTCATATATGCGGTTGCGGTCTAAACCGCACCAAGTCGCTAACTTATGCGGTTTGGTTAGACTGCACCAATTAATTTGCGGTTTTACATGCGGTGCGGTCCAAAACTTTACGGTGCGGTGCGGTTTATATCAACTTGGTGCGGTGCAGTTTGAACCGCACCAATGCCCACCCCTACTTGCCAAGTCCTCCGCGACAGCAGCCCTCCACTCCAAAAAAAAAAATCCTAACGAGATAAGGAATTCGGAAACAAAATAAGTAAACGAACGGAGAAGCGCCAGTAGACGGTCGTTTGAATTAGTTTTTGAAAATAACGCGCGTGGCCCTCCGTGTAAAACCCATTTGTAGATTGCGGTCAACTATAAATTAGGAAAAGTCTGACTATTGGTCAATTCCTATTGGCTGGGATAAGTGTTAGTATGGTGCTAACACAAAAACGGTTAGCATTGTGACCAGTGACCATCGCCCTTGTACTTTAGTAGCAGTGGAATACTTTTTCCAAAAATACTAAAGCTAAAACTCTTTTTTTAACAATACAACACGTACAGCAAAAAGATTCATTATAAACATCGGTTAGATTATTGCGAAATTCAACCGTTTATGAAGAGGACCACTGAAGACGGTAATGATTTATGTAAATCATTGACAGCCGAAGCAATTTGTTGGTAGATCTCTTTTCTCTTAAGGATTCTTCCACTAATATACGTTGGAACTTTTGATGGATGTAATTTTGCCATCGGTTATCCAATGCGAATTTTTTTATGTTGGTTTAAATATTTGGAATTGTGATAGCAAAATCCTATTGGATAGCTGCTCAATATATCATACCGAAGCCTGAAATGATGAAGGGCGGAGAACCCATTGCTTTGCCGACGGCAGCGGAGATGATGACTCGATATTTGCACATGTTTTCCCCTTTGTTTCTTGATCGTTTGAGCTTTAATTATCGCGTTTTGGCCTATTTTACGCTAGGTTGTATTCCTTTGTTACATTTCAGGTCCTAGCACATAAAATGAAGCATATGCACAAGTTTCAAGTCAATCAGAGATCAATTGGCGATTAGTGAGAAGAAACTCGGGCATGATCTGAAGAAGAATGGATTTCTACCTCACTTTTTGGACAAATAATCATGCAAGCTTGTCATGGAAAGAAAGAGGACTAGACTAGGAGCGTCTGGGATCAAACGGCGACTGATTCCGAGTCCGGACGAGGGAGAAACGAAGCATTGAATATAGGGGAACAGGTTCGGCAGTAAAAACACGGGCGCGCCTAAATCAAAACACGGCCGTGCCCATATTTAGGCACGACCGTGTTTTGGCCGACGCGCGCGGGCGTGTTTTTAACATGGGGCAAAACCAAAGCACGGCCGTGCCCTCGATCGTGTTTTGCCCAGAATCGGATTTTTTAACCCAAATTCGAGCCAAAGGAGAGGGAGAGCGGGGTTTTGGATCCCAAACACCCAAGGGACGAACCAAAGAGAGAGAGAGGGCGATTTGAGGGCATTCTTGGAGTGGAATTGGAGGATTTTTTCACCTTGGAAGCTCGAGGAACAAGCCCGGACTTGGAGACTGATCATCTGAAGATTCTTACTGTAGTCTCTCTCTTCTCTATGGAGCAACTTCCCTTCACTTAGGTTTTGAGGAACCCTAGCTATGTTTGTTTGATTGGATGATTGTATGAGTACTACTACTTGATAATCTTGAGTTCATATTCAATCTATGCACGTTTTCATGATTCAATTCTACTTTAGTCGAGATTATTGATTCTGCTTTGATCCTATGAGAGCGAATACCTGATTAGGTCAATAAAGCACCATAGATTGATAGTATTGGATCGATTGCTTTAGTCGAGGGTCAATTCCCTGCTTTGTATCGATTGAGAACCTCATTCGATAGAGGGAGTCTAGTTCAGAATGCCTTGATCGGTTGTTCTAGAGAAGGATACGTCCCTCTAGGCAATTGACTCAAGAGGGCCTTGTTCCTTTAGTCGAGACTCAAGGTCTAGTCAAGGATTCTCCGCATTGTGAATGAATTTGAAACAAGTTAGAAATCATCAATCGTTAGTCTGGCTAGTGGCTAGGGGGAATCATACCTAAGTGAGTTCCCAACCTGTAATTAGATTAACTTTAACTGTAGTTTGCTAGAGTAGTTTTAGTTCTTCCTTATTAATCTGGTTTGCTAAATAATGAACTGAAGCTGAGTAATAGTAACTCTAGAGACCCGTGGATTCGATATTTATTACTTGAGCCACTATACTGCAGTCCCTTTCATTGGTTACACTTGGCCTTTGTTAGGAGTTGTGTCATAGCGTGTCAGGAGATCATTCAAATATATAATTAAATAAATAATTAAATCTATAAACCCGTTTTATTCCGCTCAACCCTCTCAAGAATTCCCAGATAAATAATATTCTGCAGGCTGGAGTCACACTTACCTTAATTTAGCATATTGAAACATGGAACTCGCTCTGCACCTTGATAACAAGTATAGCGTATGACTAATCACAACATCACAGCAAAATGGCACAAATTTCGTTTAGGTAAAAATATTACAAGACGATGGACGTGCCTGCACAGAAAAAAATCAGACCTGCAAAAAGCTTGCATATTTAGCTCCCAAGAAGAGCCTCTGGATGCAGAGGAGGGCATTCTTGGTAACCTCAGCATTTTCATGGTTCATCAGTTTCATGACCCTTTCCTTTGCCTTCAGGTCCGTCACAATGACCCGCCCTGCTGGATGGTACTGGATGAATTGTGAGAGGTCATTGGACGTGTCCAATATAGTGATGAGCACCCTCAGAATCTGCGGTCATATCTCTTACTGTCAGTATAGAATATAGATTTGTGACAACGTATAAAGACTGAAATCAGATCAGAAGGAAAGTGGAACTACCTGGAATCATTCTCTTCAAAGCTATTGATATTCTCACGCCAGAATATAAGATCTTTGTGCATGGGAGACCAATCTAGATGACCAAGAAGGACCTCTTGCTTGAACTTTTCAAATGAGCTCAGTTTCTTTATGTTATCCTTGAGCCCTTCTTCAAGCTGGTCGAGGGCCTCCAATAGGTCCTAAAATATACAGGATTGTTATGATGGTCAAGCAGAGAGTTCACACATCACGTAAGTGTAGGAAAATGAGCAAGGATATAGAGCATCTTGGGGTGCACATGAGTTGGTTTGATCCATAATCAATTGGCATAGGGCCCGATCCAAAGTTGTGGAAAACAATGACCAGAGTCGAATCAAAAGGACATTTGGATCAGTTTTGATCAACAACTCTTTTCTCTTTATCTTTAAGAGGATATACAGAATCAAAGCTTAAATTAACTAATATCCAGTCGAGTCTGATTCATTCTGAGTGTCGATTCAGTTCAGCCAGGTGTGAACCAAATCGTTGAAGACCCATATCAGCATTTGATGATGAACCAGGAAACTAAAAAGGGCAAAATGAATACATGATGCTAACTGAAAGACATCACGGTTATAAAGGTCAATTCTCAGCATAACACCAATCACCACTTGCAGGGACTTCAAGGTTACTGTTGGTCTATGCTTAGAAGGTCCGTTACAGGTAAACAAATAGATATTTGTAAGGAACAAGAAAATTGTACTCTTACCTCATCACTCCATGCTTGGGTTTTCAGATTTTGAACTGTTTGTGGAAGACCAAGGTCTACCATCTGAGCACCAAAAGTGACTTTGGAAAGCAAGTTCCTAAAATTCAAGACAACTACAAGGACAACCTTGAAAAAGATAAATTAACAATTTAAGTATCAGATAGAGTATTGTAAGAGTTTGGACTAAGAAGGAAAAAGAACTAATTCTGTTCAAACATAGTAGCATCGAAAGTAGTGCATAAGAAATCAACAAACTAGGGCCAGAAAAGGAAATCTTTTGAGTTCATTCATGGGATAACTATCAAATTATATGGATTCAAACCATTGACAATGTGTACCGAAAAGAATAATAGAATTAGGCAAAACAACAATGCTCACAAAACATTCTCGCAGCAAAGACTGATAATGACTGGAAGAAGACACCATTGAGCAGGTAGAACACTAGAGACGACATCACTTGAAAACTACCCTACTGAGAACCAAAAGAAAGAAGAATGAAAGACCTCTACCTTCTCCTTTGTTGAACTCCTTACAACCTCCACAAGTCGCGGTAAGGTTCTAGATGTAGCCAGGTACTCAATTGCAGGCTCATAGAAAGATAACAACCAGATACAGAGGCAGGTCTCATAAAGGAGCTGCAATATACACAACAATTAGCTACAACTAGGGATGTAATTCAGACACCGAAACTGAACGTTTAATATACAATTTGTAGGTATTGAACCAGTAAATTGAAACAACTAGTAAAGCCAAACCAATGAGGAGCAGAAGACATCCAGACTAATACCTGGATTGATTGTTGGCTGGATGCTGGAGAAATTAAAGGAATCAGCAATTTGATTCCATCTGCCTGAACAAATGAAGATCTGACAACAGGTTCCTTAAGTAACACTGCCAAGCAACTGACCGCAGATGGAACAGCACGACTGGGATGCGAAGGTTTCTTCAGCTACAAGAAATTCCATAACAAAAAGAGTGAGATATAAAGTATCACCCTAATTAAACCAACACGACAACGTGCTGTCAATGCTACTGTAGTCAACCTGAAGACAGAGCCATTCAACTAGTCCTTTCAGCATATTATCAATGGCGGTCAATTTGCCATTTGAATTTGAGGCTCCTCCATTTGCGAGAATGCTTTCATGATTTTTTGGCTTACCACTATACCAAACACCAGAGCAGGTGAGAACAAGATTGATACATGGTGAAATAATCTATTTGATGTCTATAAACGAAACCATTCCAGAACGAAGGAACTATAAAATAAGTACCTTACAACCAAAGCAAGAATCTTGCAGCTCTTTTCTTGAATGAACCAATTACCTTTCCATAGCACTCTGAAATCACACCGATCATAGTTCTTTATTTTGAGAACCCTAAACTATATCATATATAACATTTCTAATAACTTGAAATGACATAAAATTTCAGAAAGGAGGCCATTACTCATACCGGCCATAGAATTCTTACTCATGCACATTGATAGAGTACATTGGTGAATAAGAAAATGAAAATGGTGTGTCGGAAAACGGAACTGAAACTTCACTGCACCAATTTTACACTAAACTTCCGTGGCCCTCATAATTAATTTGCCACCCCCACCACACAAACCATTAGTTAGCAGCAGACATTAATTAGTGAATGTTTTCAGGAATGCAAATGCATTACAGTACCTAATGAAGGGATCATAAGTATCCTCATTTGCAAGACACTTGTCATGGAACAATCTGGCCCTTTTGGGATTTGCTGTGAATTGGAATTTATGTGAGTATTTATTTTCAAAAAAGGAAGTATAAGAAGTGGAAGGTAACCTGAGATAAGAAAAAGGTGTGTGTCCAACTTACCTGTTAGCATTTCATCTATCAAAGCCAGAACATATTCAACAATTTCTTCTTTGAATATATCACGCAGAATATTAACAAACACCCGAATGTATGCTACACCATCATGCCAAGTTCAAGAGCATATTCAGGCTAGTTAACACATTTATAGTCACTTAAATCAACCACGTCAATTCCACCTGATGACACTAAGGCAATATTGACGTATAACTGTACAAGCAAATGTGCCACATCTAGTAAAAGTCTAATTCTCTCTTAACTTTAGAAACTAGCCGTAGAGGTCCAACAAAACACTAACAGGTATGTAAGGAATGTTCCCCTTAGAGGTATTCCACCATTTATCACATCAAATGTGTCAACCACTAGAGCATTTGGAAAAGAAGCAGCAGCTTCAGCAAGAAGCACCTGGAAACTTGCACGTAAGAAAATCGGGAAGACCAAAAACTGTACGCAGAGCAATATGAACACAGAAGATCAATAGAACCTTACATCATCTAGCAATTGCACTCTATAACTTTCAGCTTTGTTGTCATAGCGCCTCAATAGCTGAAGGTCTGTCCCTTTTATCAGCCTCGTCATCATGTACGTCTCCCATGGAATATCCCTCTTTAGAACCTGTATATCAGGCAGGAAACACATAGGTCAAAAAGAAAGTGATTTGAATTGTGAATATGTTGCGACAAGCTAGAGAAAGGAAACAACATTTCACTGAAGAAAATAATCAGAATGAATAAACTCTCTCGAATAATAGAAACCGCTTTCGACACAATAAATTAACTCCCATAAACAATTAGACATTGGAAGAAAGAACAACAACTAGAGGCTTCACATTCATTTAGTCATTCTTCCTCTGCTCCCAGAAACACGGCCAGGAAACTGAACTTCCAAGCTCTACATAAACAAATTTCAAAACTTCCAAGCACTAGCTAAATCTTTCATCTCCATTTGAAGTTCAATCTTGATCCGCTTTCAACACATATCTCCCTTCTAATCAGAAGTACTAGAGGAAGAGGAACTGACAGTGCAATCAAAACCGATCATGGACTAATCCCAAAAGCAAAGTAAGAGAGAACCAACCTGCTCAGTGGTCAGCTCGGCATGGTCCATTGTAGTAGTTCCCACCGCTCAAAAAAAAATTGCAACGCGGATTGGAACCTGAATTTAGAGACCTACTGGCATCATCCAAACAAGAATCAAAATTAAAACCGGATCACACACGGATCGAAGGCCCATCGATCCTAGCCTTCCAGTTAGAACTCGAAATTAGAGAAAACGAGACGAATCAGAATTTCAACTTGAGATCAATCTAATCCAAATAACAATGGCGCAAAGAGCACAGCGGGATACGAAGGGGACGGATAATGGAAGTGGTAGCGATCCAGGAGAAGTGAGTGAGCGAGACATATGTGAGATTGCGGAAGGACGAACCGGGTAGCGCACCTATTTTCTTCGCCGTCTTTCAGTTTCTCGATCAATCTTCACTCTCCTTTTTCTATTTCTTTTATCAAATCAATTGTCTTCCTTCTTCTTCCTCTCCTCAATCATAGTAATAAGTAGTTGCTGCATTGCGAGGCATGGGTACTTGACCTGTGGGCTCAGGAGAGAAGGCAAAACGAGAAATTGGATTGGTGAGGGCAGTAATAAACTACTCCGCACCTACATGTTTCTGCTATCGCCTCTCGATCTATGCCTTCCACGTGTTTGTACTAGATCGCTGGATTCGTTTGAATTTTCTATTAAGGTTTTTGTTGGGCTACTCGCGTCAGCTCACGAACCAATTGGAGTGGGGAAGAATGATCTACAAAATACTATAAGACAATGTCAAAAAATAGCCTTTGCCACCTCAGCCGGTGCTGAAACGGCCGCACAATTCGGAGGGTCTTTATGGACAGTTCCTATCCATCTCTCTTCCTCGCTCGCTGTCTTCCCATATCCTGCTATTTCTCTTCTTTTTTTCTCGAGTAACCAGAAAAAGCGATTTCTCTCTCACCTCTATTGAATTGAATACTCTCTCGCCGCCTCTATTCAGTTCACAACCACTCCGACGTTCCTCTTTGACACATTGAATCTGAATTAAAAATCCTCCCCAGTAGGCCTCTCTGTTCTTCCTCAATCTTCGTTGTATTTGCTTTCAAATTTGGTCTACCTTGCAATCTCCCAGAAAAAATCCCAACTCCTCCATCTCGCCGTCTTCCTCTAGCCGCCTCCGCCGACAACAGGTCGAACGTTCCTTTTTGGCACACTGCATCTGAATTTGAAATCCCCCACAGTAGGCCCCTCCGTTCTTCCTCTATCGTAGTTGTGTTTGTAGCCATCTGCTCTGTCTTGCAAGCCCACAGAAAAAGTCCCGGCTCCTCTCTGTCTCGCCGTTTGTGCGATGTGCCCTCTTCTTTTGCGTTTTCAATGACAAATCTATCCATTAGCTAATTAATCAGTTCCAGTCATTTATTGAGAAATCAAAATTATATTCGGTAATACAATCTAGAAGTTGGGTGAGATATTTGGGAGAAGAAAAATCTGAAATTGTTGGGAAGAGGAAGAACCCAGAATGTTTTGAAAGAGGGAGGAGCTAGAAGAAGTCTCTGGAGAAGGAAGGAAGAACGAAAGAAAATTTTCTGATTTTTTTCTTGGTTATATCGATTTAATATCATAAAAAGGGGTCTTGGGTTTATGACGTGTCGTAAGTAAATGGAGTGAGCAACAAAAGGAGGAGAGAAGTGATAGGAAAGTTAGAATAGAGAGGGTAGAAAGAGAGGGACGTGAGAATTGAGGGTAGGTGGTTCTGAGAGAAGATTGAGTATGGTGAATAGTTAAAAGAAAGCAGAGTAGTTCAAGTTCTCAAGGAGGAGGAATTTTAATTAATCATGATGTTGTAATGTGTATGGATAATTTGTGACTTTCTTGAATTTTCTAGATTGGTGTTGGACAATTTGTATGAATAGTGTGTGATTTGCTTGAATTAACTAGAACGATGTTTTATGTATGGATAGTTTGTATGGTGAGATTTACGCTTGATTTTTATTTTGATAGTTTCTTGTTAATTATTATTATAAATATTTTATCAAAAAACCCACGGGTACCCATCAATCCGCGAATACCCAGCGGGTTGGGTTGGGTTTGAGTTTTTCAAACCCAGCGGGTTTTATACCGGATTTTTTTGGCAAATAAACCCATGTGTTTGGGTTTGGGTTTGGGTTTGGCAAAACCCGCTCCAACCCGCCCCATTGTCACTCCTAGTGGTGAGAGGAGTGTGAGCTTGAGAGAGTGGTTATGGTGTGGTGAGCTTTATTGTAGTGAATGTGAGCTTAAGTTGTTAATTTACAAGTTGGTTTGTAAAGTTTGTTAAAATTATAATTTCAGTCATCACACTTTGTAAGTACTATTTCAGAGCATGCGTGATCTAGTAAAATTCTACATCGTTTGTGCTTAGTCTTCCAACGATTCCATATTGCATCAATTCCCTTCATCAAATTAGTCCTACTGTTGCATTTTATATGGGATTAAGAGACAGTTTCTCGGTGGGGTTTCCCTTATTGCAACAATGTTGCCGAAGCATCTCTACGGTGACACTTTCTGGTCCTATAAATTCTCCATTCAATTCTAACTCTGCTACTACTCAATTTAAAATACTCATTTTGTTCTTAGTTTGTTGTTGTCTGTGATTGGATGTCATATACGTAAGGAAATTGTAATTTATTTGATTTGTGTTCCCTTCTGTCGTTTGTTAGGGAAAGGAAGGGAAATCAATATGTGTCTCACTTGAAGGCCCGATACTAGCTGAAGTTGACATGGAGAGGGTGTGTTTTTTTTTATTGATATGAAGTTACCATTTTTCTTAGCTGTCTACTTCTTATTGATAGTTATTGTGACTTTAGCTAGGAGGAGAAGAAAGTTCCTCTTGATGGTACGATGGATGTATCGAGTACGTTTTTGTTTTAGTCCCCAGTATGTCACTCTTAGCCTTTTACTTATCTTTAGCTTCTATGAAGTTTGATTTCATGAGTCGTACATCATCATTGATTCATCATACCGCTTGATGGAGAACTTTTATGCTATTTTTCTACAGATACTTATGATTTTGTTTGAATTCTACAACTGGGATTTGTTACAAATAAGTTCTAATTTACCTAATAACAATATTTGTTTAGTTAACTTTAAAAAAAGTGTTTACCGTTGAAGAGAAAGTGATGCAAGTACGTCCTAATTGGTGCTACACGGGGTGTGTTGTAGCCCATTTGGTGGCTCGGAAGGCCCTGCTTTTATACCCGTCTGCAAGTCGTTTCTTTGATTTCTTGGCCTGGCTCAATTCCAGGATGTAATTATCTGTTCTCTGATCAATATATGATTGCCTTTTGTCGAAAAAAAAAGCTTGAAGGTTTGCGTTTTTTCCGGAGTGATGGCTGATGTGTTATTTCAATTAAATCAGAGAAATAAAGAACTCATTTGGTCTCAGATCCAACAAACTGTTAACATGACACCGAATCTTCATGTTAAACTTACTAAGTTCAACTTCTTGAATGCTCAAGCTGAGTATTAAGTGATTAGCATTGATCATGATCCACTTCAGGTAGGTGATGAACACTTCAGCTGCACATCATTTTAGTTTACCTAAAGGATACCATATTATTTTTTTATCTTTACAACTCTATTATTAATTTAATTTGATTACAACAACTGATTGTGACTCCAAGTCCTGTGGACCTGGGAGGAACAACCTTTTTCGGGCCGAAAAGAAAACATGTTGACGATTGTGACCTTGAGGAGGAATAGTATTGTGTGGAAACTTTGTGTAGTTAGAGAGCCCCAATGTGAAGCTTATAATCAGTATTTTGTTTTCATCCATGGGATATTTGGTATTCTAATGTCTTTCAGGTTGATATTGGAACTCCATTTCTAGGTTTTCCTTATGGATTTTCTCTTTTTGTTGAGTTACAATTATGGAATACAGTGGTGTTCTTTGACTACAATCTTTTCTCAAATGTTCGATAGTTTTTCCCTTATGAATTGTCTTCTTTTGTTTTTTCAAGTTTGGTTTAGCAATGCCAAATCAATCTCAAGTTAAGTCGAGTCTCAATGTAGATCTGTATGCCATGAATGAAAGCTCATGAGAAGGTTAGTTGTATTTGTTTTGATAATCTGATTGTCGATGTTTTTTTTCCCTTCATACTACCCTGATGATGTGTCGTCATTTTGCACATCAATTTGGAGGATTGGAGTTTTGTATAATTATATATGCCTACATAATTATTTTAAACCAACTATTGATTGATTACTATTATGCTTCATTAAATTGAAACCCAGAATGGATGCTTGATAGCGTTTATATATAGACCATATTTCATATTGTTGTTTTCCATGAAATAATATCTTTTACTGCAAAAATATGTTTAAGCATCACTATTACCTTCAGATTTTGCTTCAGGTTCCTAACGACTTCGGCCAACGGGTCGGGCCCACTGCTAGTACAGAGAGTAGGGGTGAACAAAACAACTCGTAAACTAACCCATCCGTCCAACCCAACCCAATCCACCTGTATTTATCGATAAAATTAAGTTGTAAGGTTGGGTGAGGGTTTAATTTTTTACAAACCGTCTCTATTGGGTTGGGTCCGGATTTTGGGTTACGCAACCCGTAGAATCCGACCCAACCCGTATTCCAACTATTGTCATAAATGTTCGTATCCAAACATATTTGTATCGTATATAAGCAATATTTGTAAGAAAATTAAGATAATTTTATCATAATTTTCTCTTGTGGTTTCTCTAGTCTAATACATTCTTCTACTTAAAGACTAGACATATATTTAATATAGGCTACAGGCCACATAAATTTTTGTGTGTACAATTTTAGAAAAATAATATATTATGAATGCGTTCACTTATAACCATTTTAGTTTATTTTGACAAATGTATGTGGAAAAAACTAGACTTATGTTGAAGCAAATGTACTTCATGAAAATATAAATACCATTTATACATTTTAATACTTTTCATTTCAATTTATTTGCTAAAAAATTTAACCGGTTATATAATATTTTGTAGAATAATTGTCTTTTTTTATGTTGGGTTGGGTTTTTAATTAAAATTATCTCCAACCCGACCCAACCCAACTATAAACAAACCGTAGGATTCTAAATTTTTGTGTGATTTGGATTTGGCATTTTCAAAACCGTAGTGTATGGGTCGGGTGATTAAAATGAACAAATCCGAACCACCCGATCCATGTACACCCTTAACAGAGAGCACAAGGTCCGGCCTATTGGCCGCACAGTTTGATGGTTATATAAGTTGTGATATATTTTTGGGTTAATTGCAAGGATGGTCAATGGGTTTACTAAAAATGTTCATGTTTGTTCACTGCAAATATTTAATTTCATTCATGGTCACTAAGATTAGTTCAATAGTTCAAGTTTGGTCACTCTCCGTTAGTCTCCGTTAGTTTTTGCTGATGTGGCAGTCAACTATTATAGTTGACCGTTAAATGAGTGACGTGGTCATTAAAA